TTGTAGGCGCCGTAGTCCCCTGCGACGGAACCGACCTTGGGGCCTGCTCCTACCGAGCGCTGAGTCCTTGCCGGCCACACGTCGGCCCCATGTTATCTTGTTTATTTTTAACCCCCCCAATAAACATTAGCTCCATGAGAAGAGGGACTTTTTACCTGTTTTGTTTGATCACTGTAGTGAAAGTGCTTAGAACCTGGCACATGGTAGGTGCTCAAAAAAGATTTAGTGAGTTGATTGGTTAACCCTTATTTCAAGGGTTATACTTCTCACATGGAATCTCGAGGCCAATTTTTAAAACTTGTCCCTTAATAATGGAAAATTATTATTCTCTCTCCTTGGCAAGGAAGCAGGAGGGAGGAAGAGAAAAGGAAAGGCACTGACGTACTCAGTAGCTCAGTCAGTGCTTAGGACGGCCCCTAGCGGAAACGGGACGGGAAGTTTATTGCAAACCCAGCTCTCTTCCTGCCTCAGTTCCCCTGTTAACTTCTCAGCCTGGCGTTGTGTCCCAGCGAGGACAGAGGTCCCAGGAGACCTGGCAGGTGCCCCTCCAGCAGTGCCACCTGCTACTGGCTCTGGTTGGTGCTCCCAGCAGTGCTCAGTCTCCAAAGCATGGCCCTCGGGAGGAGCGGCTGGGCCCGCTGGGGTCCTGGGCTGCCACTGAGTCCTCAAAGAGACCGAACACTGCGCTGCAGAGAGCCTCAGCCGTCAGCACCGGGGAACGCGCTGGCACCGGGGACGTGGGGTGATAAACCGAATATCTACCTCCTGTCCCCTCTGTTTGGTAGGAGGTGCAGCTCGGACAAGGCGACCAGCGGTTTGAGCTGCAAGGCCTTGAGCAGGGCGCCACCTACCCTGTGTCCTTGGTGGCCGTTCAGGGTGACCGCCGGAGCAGGAGCGTGTCCACCACCCTTTCCACAGGTAACGTGGACCGCGGCACGTGGACCGGGAATGGCTGCAGGGCTACGGCTTTGTGCAGGCGCGGGGAGCTGGAAACGGGGCACAGCGGAGGGCAGCTGCTTCGGGGGAGGGAGTGACGTGAACTTGACCTTATTCGGAGGGTTCAGTGAGAGCAAAGCAAGTGAGAAAAAGAAGACGTGAGTGAAGAGCTGGATGGAGCGAGGCGGGAGGAAGTTATGAATAATCCTACACAAAATACATGAGCTTAAAATAGGGGGCCAGCCCGCTGCCCTCCCCCCAGCCCTCTTCTTAACGATGCTGTCCCTCTGCTCGGCTGCCAGCTGGTGCCCGTTTCCCACACCCTTCGGACTGCAGTCAAGTTCAGCAGAACAGCAATGTCGCCAGCGGCCTGTACACCATCTACCTGCACGGCGACGCCGGCCGGCCCCTGCAGGTGTACTGTGACATGGACACGGACGGAGGCGGCTGGATTGTGAGTCAGCAGAGCCCGGGAGCTCTGGGCCGGGCCCGTTTCCTCAGCCCAGGCAGCTCTAGTTCTTTACCCATGGGGGAGCGGAACGTTGGTGGCCTGCAGCTGTGTTTAGAGGGATCCCACCCACGGAAGAATAAGACCAGAAGCACGTGACCCCTGGGGTAGGGCAGCCTTGGTTAGACTGATGCTGCTGGCTGTGCTGGCTCAGGGTTTGCCGCCCTCTCCTAGTGCCCTGTGCGTGTGTATTTCACCCACATTTTACTCTCTTTGGAGCATTTTCTGTACGTGACCCTCACACAAAAGCTTTAGGGTAAGTGAGAGATTCAGATTTCTAATTTCTAGACATGTAAAGTGAGGCCCGCGGGGAGATGTGCCTTGGCTGAGTCACACGAGTTAGTGACGAGGTTAGACCGGATTTTAGGACTCCAGCCTCCTCCTGGGC